AAACCCTATTTGTTCGGCTTTGGCCTTGAGGCGTACCTGTACCCCCGAGTACCTACAGTCTGGTGGTATACTAGTAACCGTAGAAGCCCAGGTACCCATGTAGTAGGTCCTTGGGTAGGGTTTAGGGTTTAGGGTTTAGGGTTTAGGGTTTAGGGTTTTAGGGTTTTAGGGATTTAGGGTTTAGGGTTTAGGGTTTAGGGTTTAGGGTTTAGGTTACATGTCTAACCCTACAAGCCCAGGTACCCATATAGTAGGTCCTTGGGTTGTAGATAGTACACAATTATATAGGGACTTAAGGACAGGAACCTAATATGTAGGTAACTGGGCTTCTAGGGTGAGTCAGGGGAAAGGTACTACGAACCCGTAGCTTATTGGCTTACAGGCAGAGCTTGGGGTTTGGGGCGTGGGGTTTAAGGTTTAGAGTTTGGGATTCAGGGGTTAGGATTTTTGGTTTGGGGTGCTTGTAGGGACAATGTTGTGTATGGTCTGGGATCCAAGGTGTGGATACTAGGTCAGAGTATAGTATGGGGCATAGGGGTTTGGCTTTAAGCGTAGGCTCTAGGATTCCATTCCGTAAGGGGGACCGCTGTAGGGTTTCCTTTTTCAAGGCAGGGTTGCGGGATGAGGCCTCATGTTTCAGGTGTCAGGTTTGTGGTTTTGGGTATAGGGTCAGAATATCATCCCCCCAAAGGGACCCTGGGGAGGGTAGAGCTCTATACCTGGGAGGGGTGCTCTTGGGGGTAGCCTTGTAACCTCTAATATTTGGGGGTTTGCGTTTACTTGGAGGATCAGGGGACGATGTAGTTGGAAATGTGACCCCTTAAGGCCTGACATGTCCCCTATCCTCGAAGTATGAGATCTTCCTGGCACCCGAAACCCTGAACCCTAAGAGAACTGAGGATTCCTGAGCTCTATAGCCTACACTCTCAAAGGTTTAGGGTTTAGGGTTTAGGGCCAGAATGAATCCTAAAATCCATAAGCCCTAAGCCCTTAACCAAACCTGTTCGAACAGTAAAACCCCTAAATGTTTTACAACCTAAATCCACAATTCCTGCACTATGTAAAGGCTGTAAAGGCCAAGCTCCATTAAGCCTAGGACGCACACCCTAAACTTTGCACGTCCTCAAACCTTCACTTTGTATGTCCTACCTGTAACCCCATTTGTCTAACTAGTACTTACCCATTAGTAAGTGGGTATATACAGTTGGGAGTACAACTAGCCCTAAAGCTCTAAACCCCAAACCCTAAACCTTAACCCTAAGCCCCAA